TGGGTGTCAAAAAGAGACCAAAACGTGCGCCAGTGCTTCCCAACGGCAAAACGTCGGCCGCTTGAGAGGACACGTGAGCGCAAAACTAGCCAGCTCTCGCCCGTTAGACCATCGATTTATGTTTTGTCTTCTTGGGTGTGTTCTCCATCAACGACTCTCATCCGGTTGCGCGTGAGTCGGCAGTGGCCGTGCTCAGTCGGCAGGGAGGCGCGTCGTTGTGCGCGCAAAGTTGTGGACGCAAGGTTTTTTAATTCGGTCTATTTATTCACTTGATTGAATATGGAGGGCTTGTTCCTCCATCCCAAAAACGACTTTTTCAACACATCGAGTTCACAGCGACGCGCCTCCCTGCCTGTTGAGTATGTCCGCTGCTGAACCACGCACCCGGATGAGGGCCGTTGATGGAGAAGACACCCTAGAAGACAACACGTGAATCAATGGTCGAGAGGACGAGAGCTGGATAGTTTTTTTGTACTCACGTCTCCTCTCAAGCAGCCGGCTTTTTTGCCGTTCGGAGACACAAACCACGTTTTCTCCGTGCCCTCCAAACCACCCCTGTCTGTTTGTTTTATTACGCAGGCTTGACGAGCTCCCGCCATGTATCAGCCGGCAAAACGTTGACACAGTGACTCTAGGGTTGTGGTTGTCCGGATCCCTCTATGAGCTTGCTACGTTGAGTGTGCGCTTCGCAGTGGTTGGTGTTTAGGACGGAAGGGGCGATCGGCAACTAATCTCGCCGCTCTTGGAAAAGATTTTCGCGACCTGCCCCATTTCAAAGTGTTTGTCAAACATGTTGTCAAACGAGCGACTTTTGCCTCATTTGAAACTGTTGGGGAAGATTTTGCCGAAGAATTTTCCCCATAAAATGTGAAACAAAATCTTTATCCGTAAATCTTTGAAATTTTCGACATCTTCGCAAAGATTTGGCGACCATTAACATGGGTCTAGCTCGTATCACCGGGGTGTCGTATTCTGTGGGGGGGGTAGTTTCTTATGTAGGTGTAGTATCTTGTGTCATTTACCGTACCCAAGTTGCACTGCGTCCCTTTTGCACCCCCCGTGTACGCCTGACGGGATCGCATGGGGCACGCTTGGTCATGCGGCACCCACACGCATCGCCCACTGGCCGCTGCTGGGAAATATAGCTGTGTTCCAATGATTCTGTGAGCGTGCCAACTTTTCGCGCTGGTTGGGTTGCTGTGGAGCTTGCTCTCCAATATGTGCGATGTTAAAAGTCAACGGTCGGTTGTGTGCAGCGAGACAGTCCGAACGACAGTTGTAGAGCAAGCCTGAGGATGAGGCTTAGACCGCTGGCACCGCGTGCTGATGCTTAGGTTCGTGTGAGTTGTACTGCTCCCATGTGTTTATCGCTCTACGTGGTTGATCACCACGTCACCTCGGGGCAGCAATTCCATCGCATTTGGGTGTTTCTGAACCTCGATCGAGGCAGAATTATGTTAAATCGACGCACGCCCTTCATGGCCAAAGTACCAATAGGTCCATCCAAATTGGGTCATCAAACAAGGTGCAACTTTTTAACGTTAAAACAGGCCCTCATGCCATTCGCAGCAATTGTTCTTCTTATGCATCTTCCGTCGTGTCGGTAACACCTCCCCTCGCCCCTCGCCGCCCCCGCAGTGATGTTGTGTCGTAGGAAGTAGTCAGTCATCTGTTTGGTGTCACGTTAGCAGTTGCCAGGTTCGTTGTTGCTCCGGAAGGCTGGAGCATTGGAGGGGACCTGTATATCTTCCATTTTTTCCCGTTCTTTCCCCCCCCGTCTCTTCCTCTCTTCTCTTATCTGTCCTTCTTTCATCCCTTTTTCTTTTTGACTGGGGTCGATCGCTGTATCCCCCCGGTTAGCCTTTATATTTTTCTTTTTTTTGAGTTTTTTTTATATTTTTTTCTCGTTGCTTGGGTTGAAAATCAAATCGCGCCTTGGAAGAATTTTTATGTTGTCCATTTATGTTTTTGGAAGGTGTACCCCCCCTTCGGGGGCAGTTGGCTTGTGACCACGGAAGGCGCCCGCGTCAGTTGCGGTTTTTTAATGTGAAGACAACAACAATGCATACCGTGGTATGCCACAGCAGTTCTGTTCATTCATGTGTTTCTCAAGCATTTAATCTCAATCAACTACTCCTATCAGCAACTCAATACATTCGGTCCTTTTTTGTTTCCGCTGATTACAAGTTGTATGCCTACACAGTACAGGGTGTTCTTTGCTTTCCTATGTAATTTTTTTTTTTTCTGAAACGATAACACGACGATTCCCCAGATATCCCAGAAAGGAGTCCATGATAGATTAGCAATGAATTCGTAGCGTTAGCGGCGTCTACCTGTATTTCCACGATTCCCGGAGCAGCGGACAGCGATATCTCCCCTGTGCATAGCAGGCTCAACAAGACAGCAGTTTGGGGGCCGTCTTGTGTATGTAGAAGGAAGTTGTTGGGTAGGTTGGGTGTGTGATATGCTGCACCCTTACGGAAATGTGGGAGTCAAATCTCGGAGTATATGTGTAGCAAAGTATGTACCAGTCAGTTTTTTAACGTGCAAGTTTTTGCGAATGCATCACTCATCACACGTCACTCGCCACACTTGAGAACAAAGTATTATGTTATCCTGCGCCAAGCCAAACGTTTTTAACACCACCCACACCCAAGTTTCAAGTCCTTCAACTCTGGAACGCTACTTTGCCGAGAGACATGCTTGTTCCAGGCATGAAGGCATACAGACACGCAGGGACAGAAAGTTGGGACATGAGACAAATTTCTTACGCATTCGAAATAAACAACTTCGGAGTAAACATCGATTCTCTTCCCAGAAGAGCCGACACGAGTGCATTCGCGCGTATTCGTCGTACCTGCCTTCGGCCTCATCGACCCAGTATTGATCCATCACTTCCATGTCATGCCGTTCCCCTGCTAGCGTATGTAGTTCAACACCTCCCAGTGTACTTCAACACCTCCAGCGCGGTGTTGCGTGTGTAGCCAAGCTTGGTTCAGCTGACGATCTGCGATTGATCTCTTTGGCTGTAGATTCAGCTTCATCGAGTAGAACTCCTGGGGAAAGGGGTCAAAATACCTTTGTATGTTCAAATGCCTGTCAAGGACGGCCATCTGTTGTCGGAGCGCGACCCAACCGGTGTGACGAAGTGTCCTAATTTGCTTCCTCCTCACAAGCCAGCAGATCGTAAATCGGTGTTATAGACCTCGTTGTGGTCGAACTACTGGAGGTCTGGGATGTGTCACACACCGTGGCCAACCAAACCCTAACCCTCACCGACGCCCAACGCATGGCCTAGATGCCGCGTATTGTGCTGAAACGCAGCTGCGCGGCGTCGTCGGAACGCCGAATGGGGCGTGGGCCCTGGAGAGGAACCGATTCCCCGAACCAACGCTCGACCAGTCAGAGGGCGTAAAAGCCCGTAGATGGGAAGAGTAACTTTATACCTACATGTTGAACAAATGGCGAATATTTCCAGGCGGTTCATCATTGGACGGAAATTACAGAAGGGCCCCTACATCGCGTGGTTGGAAGAGCCCGATACATAAATAGAACCTTGCTGTCCGTCCTTGGGATGAAGGGAGAAAATCTCGCGCCTTGGACTCCGAGGCTCAATGAAAGGCCCTGGCCCCTAAGGCAGTAGAGCATGTTGAAAGGCACACACGGCATTATGTATTGGCGCCATTGTCACATGTAGTACAGAAAACTGGCAGAAGTTTACAAGAGTGTTGGTTGTCATCCCTACTTACTGGAACCATTGACACATTACATGTAGTACCGAAAACTGGCAGAAATTTGCAAGAGTGTTGGTTACCATCCCGTCCATTGTGAACATCGTGACAACACGATAACTACGGGCGCTCCAGGCGTCTTGGCACAGGCGGAAAGGGCATCACGATTTTTCGTCTTCAACTTCCTCCTCCGGTGCCTGCCTCTGTTGCTGTCGCGAGAGTGTGATTCAGCATTCCCATTTGCGCGTCGACCCTAGAGTTGAAAATGGTGGAGCCACGAGGCATATGTTATCCACTTGTTGTGGGCGTGATGTGCGTGATTGCCTTTACACCACCGGGGGTGGTCGTGTGGAAGGCTTGTTGCCTTGAGCATGATGGACGTCTGTGTTGTCATCGGGCCGTCTTTTCCTACACCTGGTTTTTGGCCCTCCGACTGTTTAAGGGGCAAACCACAGAAAACGGAATACCGGGGGGGGGGGGAGGGATGAAAAGTACGGTACACAAGGCAAATACCCGGGAATTGACTCCCAGTCCCCACTCTCATTGGCCAAGGTCACCGATCGATACCGTTTTCTGGCTACTCAAGCGGAGAATGTTGCAAACTGCGCTTCTCGAGTCGGCTTTCACCGATTTCTGTTGCCCCGGTAACCGTTTACGCGATGGAGGCACATTACGGTGCCGGCCGGCGTATGTGGTGCTGCTGTTTTGGTTGTGGTGCCCCTGCACATCGCAAGAAGTTTGGACACCCTTTGGTTGAGATGCGCGTGAGGTGTTGCTATCGTTGTCAGTGATGTTTATTGCACCCGTTGACCGCCTGCCCGGTCCGCCTGTCAAATCTCCGGACCGCGCAAAAGGGGCGGGGACGAAAAAACGTGCTTGCATTTACGGAATAGGAGAGAACCATGTACATCTAATGATTCAGAACCCCAAACGTTTTCACGGTTAGCCCCTTGCACATGAAGTAATTCTCGTTTTTTCAACGGAATGCTCTCCTTCAGCCCATTTCTCTTCTGGACGGCGCCCGACCGCACAAAGTAATATCTGTCGCTCTCTGGTTGGCATATCTTCTACCATATGTTAGACAATAATTGAGCAATCACGTGGAGTATCTGGGCTTGGCAACATCGTGCGCCACGTCTATCGGGATAGTAATTTCTGGACGAATTCGACATCGCGAGGCCCCATGAACATGGTATCAATCATGCTTTCGTCTCTCGTTACCATCCACCAGGTTTCATCCCCCCACGGAGGTGCCCTTTTCGCTTTGCAATGGCTGCGACGGATCGTGAGGTGCTGGTAGCCATCTTTCTTTTGACCGACGGGACTGGTTGGGAGAGAAACGACAACTGGAACACGACGGCAGAGCTTTCCACATGGTACGGGATCAAGGTCGACGGCCAGGGTCGTGTCGTGGAGCTAAGCCTTCCTAAGAACAATCTTCGAGGTATGGTTGCCCTACTCCGTGTACATACGCTTCTCTCTTACGTTGCTCCCGGCCTTCCCTGGCCATGCATCGAACTAAAGCCCTCTTAACGTATACCCCTTTAACAGCTGCAAGTTGAAGCAAAACCCACGTTCCCAGTCGTAGTTGATTCGGGCGTTCTGAACGGGATCCACTCCTTGATGTCGTTTGGAGAATCATCCCGCAATGGTTTTCTGGTTTTCATCGTCCGCCACCGCCTCGAAGCTACTGGCCAAGAGTGCGACGTACTCTTAACCCCCATCGGTAGAGGTGGTGTTGCTGATGACTTTGAAGCATGCCAGGTGTAGTGTAGTGACTGGGTGAATATAGGTGTGATATTTCCAGCAACACGTAGTGGACGTTGCGACTCTGAGTGTCAGTGGGTTATTCTCCTATCACCCTGCAGCTTGACGAGGTCTGGCTACGTTTCTCTCTCTCTCTCCCCATGCCTGCTGTCTGCCTCCCTCTCCCTAGAATGTAAGCCCGCACAAATCACCCCCTCTCTCTCTTTGTCAGTCAATACACATTGAGTCGAAATCTCTCTCTGCACACGCAACATTCTCTCAGCTTGCCCGCGCAGCTGTTAGACCTCGTGCACTATGTTCCATACGGAGTAGTACAGGATTCCGATTTCGTCATCTATGTCGATGCCCTCGCTGCGTAGTGTTTCAACCCATTGTCAGCACGCGTCAGTTCGTGGACTGCATGCTCGTTTTTTAGTGCCCGCGACGTTATCAACCACGGCTGTGCACTTGGAGGTACTGTTGTTGAACTCCACACCCCGCAGTCGGCACTCTCCAGTCCGTACTTCGCGCAGTAGTTTTGCCTCTTCCTGCGTGTATTTAATAACGCCGTGTGATGTAGTAGAGGTATGGTGCTTTCGCACCCGTCATCAGGGGTAGGGAGTGCCATGCATTATTTTGAAAGTAGTTGACAAGCGGCGGTGGAAACGAGGACCTGGATATATATGGTCCTTCAAGTGACACGAAATGGGCACTAGAAGCCTTGGGTTTCCTTTTCATTCATTGGACCCACCAGCGTCTGCAAGCATTCACTTCGGATTGTTTCCCTGCAGTTCGCCGAGGTTTGGTGGCCTACTCTCGAATCCGGCCTGATCCATTCACGTCGAAACTTATGCTGGGCAAGGTTGGGTTTTCCCAACTTGTCAAGTCAAGCCCAGGTCGGTATGTATCGTCCTGACGTCGCCTCGCTGCAAAGGGTGGCGACTCGAATAGAAAGCAGACAAATGGGGTCGACGAGAATAAGCGCCGTCCGTGAGTTAAACAGTAGCCTTCGTGTGCCACACTGTTTATGCCACGGACGGCGCTTAT